ATTGGGCCGTGCATTATTGGGTCGTGCATTATCGTGGCTGTACATTATTGCCTCCCTTAAGAATTATATTCATAGACAATTGTAATGTTTTCTTTTGTAAAAGACAAAGATCATAATGAACAGTTGTATTTGGTAAAAATATGTAAAAACATCATTATTATTTTTTCGTCTTATTCATAATAAACTATACTTATTTAAGTTAAAAGAAGAAGTTTAATTGAATGAAAATGTTTGGATTATGCCTGAAAGGTCCATAAACGTTTACTGCGCTTCTTCGGTTGAAAAAAGTTTTATTAACGTGGAGGTCTCGGCCAAACTAATTAATTCAAAAATAGGCCGTCAACGCATCGTATGTATTGGCGTCGTCGATCAAGCAAGGAAAATACTTTCTCGTATCCTGTTGTTCCGTCCAATATAACTTGGCAACTCATATGCCTGACTGATTAGTAGTCGTTGCATATCGGAAAAAGCTAGGTATTTTATACTCAAAACATACATTCCCAAGCCAACATTTTCACTTTCTAATGTCAAAGGTTAGAATAAAGTTATGCCAAAAATAAAAGGTAATATAAGTCATCAGTTGCTTTATTATTCTCATAAAATCTAATTACAATCTAAACACAACTCGTTCAAGGTATTTCATAGTTAAGAGTTACATTACTGATACAAAATATAAGTTTAATAGGTAAACAATATTTACAATATTTACAGTGTATATTTATACCATAGACTTGTCATATGTCTATGGTTGTATGATTGCATATTCTGTGGAAAAAATTAAATAAACTTCTGTGATTATTTGCTAGGACTGCGAACGGTGTTTTCTGTAGCAGCGCTTGTCCGCCTGCCGCGTCAAGATGTCCGACACGAAGTTCCTGTGCTTGAACACCCGCAGGATGTCCTCGCGCGCCTCCTGTATACCTTCGCAAACGATCTTGCTCCTTTGAATGTTACCCTGGGAACAATATTGAAAATTACTCAATTACTGTGCAATATGATTCATATTAAAATTATAAGATAAATTAATTACGTCTTTATTCTATGTACTATATAATGCTGAGTCAATACGGTGTATATAGTCAATTTGAATGGAACTGAAAAACTATATTTATGCTTGGTTCACATCTGGCCAGTACCCAACCACTCTTAATGTTTATAAGAAGGTGTGTGTAGTATAATGTAGTGTTATGTAGTGGGGCGTGGTGTAGTATAGTGTAATTTTATTTTCATAGAGGGAAAAATGCTTTACAGCACCGTCAAGCATGAGAGCTGCATGTCTGGTCTGTCGGTCTCAGGATCATTTGTGTTCACCTAACCTAGCATGTCACCCGTTACCGGCTTAACAACCCTCTCTATGGATTTGTTTGTACCCCCACGGAACTGTCGCCCAGAATTACTTCGTGAGGGTGGTCTCAG